CCCCAAAACCCCAAAACCCCAAAACCCCAAAACCCCAAAACCCCAAAACCCCAAAACCCCAATAATTAGCAGATACATTGAACTGTATAAAGCTAAAATAATAAAATTTTGCTTTTAAACTATATTATTAAATCTACTATGTCCAGAGATAGGAGAGATAGAGACAGAAGCCCGGAGGAGAACAAGGAAGACAACCCACAGATCTACGTGGGTAGACTTCCAAGAGGAATCCATGAGAGAGATCTTGAGGACATCTTCCTTAAATTCGGAAAGATCAGAAGTTGTATTATGAAGAGAGGATTCGCCTTCATTGTAAGTTCTTAACACTCATTTAAATTTAGGAGTATGATGAACCAGCTTCGGCTAGAGATGCTATTAAGAGAATGGACAATGAGTCTGTTGACGGTGAAAGGATCGTTGTAGAGCCTGCAGGTAAGCCCAGTTTCGTCATTATTCTTAACCCATCTCCTTTAGAGCCACTCGGCCGCAGAAGAAGAGCCGGGGAGGGCAGAGGTCCTACCTCCGACGACGAGTGCTTCAAGTGTGGTGAGAAGGGCCACTGGGCTAATGAGTGCAGAGAATATGGAGGCAGAGACGGCGGAAGAGACGGCGGCAGAGGCGGTGGAAGAAGAATGGAAAGAAGAGATAATAGCCGCGAAAGAGGAGGATACGATGGAGACAGAAGAAGGTAAGTAGCTGTCTCATTTTGTATAGAGATATGCGTGAAGGTAGGTGCTTTAAATGTGGTAGAAGAGGCCATAGGGAGCGTGAGTGTCGCGACAGATCGAAATCGAGAGGTTCGTACTCCCCAAGAGGAGGCAGAAAAGGCAGAGGGAGAAGATCTTACTCAAGGAGCTCCTACAGCTCAGAAAGGGGCAGAGGAAGAGGCAGAAGACCATCAAGAAGAAGCTACTCTTCCAGAGGAAGACATTCAGATAGAAGTCTGTCAAACAGATCTAGAGATAGAAGAAGAGACAGTAAAGACTCAAGAGATAGAGATGTAAGAAGATCAAGAGACTCGAGAAGATCAAGAGATTCGAGAAGAAGCAGAGACTCTAGAAGATCTCCAGACTCAAGAAAATCACCAGACTCTAGAAGATCCCCTGACTCTAGAAGATCTAGAGGCTCCAGAAGAAGTAGCAGATCCCCTGCTAGAAACGGCTCTCCCAGACACTCACCTCCTCCAGCTCAGGATAGCGGCAACCATGACAAGGAAGTTAGACTTGATCAGGTTGATCCCCCTGTAGCTCCTCCTGCTGACGCCCAGACAGCTGATCCTCCAAAGAAAGATTAAGAGGAATACTTGGATAATACAGATTTACAGTCGAAGACCGTGTCAGTTAGCATTTATAGTTAGAATATGTACGCATTGGGCAGTTCATCAAGCCACCATTTGGATTTCATCGCCATTAGAAAGTACACATTTTCATTCGATCACTGAGAAAACATTGGGATTCATGGGAAGAAAATTTGAAAGGAAGAGACACACAGTTCAACAGCCTCCCACAAACGCGGGGTTTTGGGGTTTTGGGGTTTTGGGGTTTTGGGGTTTTGGGG